GCATTCATCACATGTGTTAGATTACGGACCGCAAGGGTTGCAAGATATATTATACTATTATATATCGTATATCATGATTCATTGATCACATGTCTTACATGATATACGGTGTGGTCCTATGATGAAGTTTCATTTTATATTTTTTCTGTTGTTTTGAAAAATAGTGATAGGAAAGATCTGTTTCCTTGGCCTTTAGCCAGAAAGGGAAAGACACACTTCATGGCACTGTTGGTTTTCTTGATGGCAAACAAAAAGTGATAAATATATGAAATGGCAAATTCATAATTTCGGCGTAGTTCAATGACATCCGCGTAATTAACCTAGTTCAATGGCATCGACGAAATTATCGCGAAGAATCAGGCACCTAATTGGAAAAGGCTCCAATACTTTTTATTGTTGCTGCCTGTACCGTCACAGTCTCTCTACCCTCCCATTCAACGGTTTGACAGTTCGACATGTTGAAAATCGAGTCCACAACTCTCTACTCTCGCTACCGGTCTCAAATGGTCAGTCTGAATCCTTTTCAAATTGCTCTGTTGAACTAACACCATGTAACGCGTGATGCAAGTTACATTGACATATATACAATTGTGAAAATGAAAAGTTCTCTCACCTCGATGCTACACAGTCCAATGCAATTCGGTGTCTGATACACTTTATATCATCCATGCTGAACTGGAATGGTGGCAAGTGATCTCTCACCAAAAGAGACGCATACGCAAACATAAACACCCCGCATTGATTTATGTCCTTCTGTTTTGGAATGCCGTTGACCCACAATTTCTATTTGAAGCGATTGGTGTCCACTTCCTTACCCTGTTCTGATGACCTGTCCTTCATATACCGTGCCACGTTGGCGATTACCTTTATGGCTACGTCTATGTCTGTTTCCATCGAGTCGTAATACTCGATCACTCTCCGTCTGAGATCTATCACAACAAGTGTCCAATGCCTCTCATGAATGTCGTGATACGGGGCTAAGATCAAGTCTTTTTCCGCGATCACTACTTCCTTGAACCACTTACCTACTTTAGCATAGTGATATCCAAATTTTTCATCCACGAGCTTAACCAGAAAAAAAAAGTTGCATATTGTTGTTTAAGGAATCAATCCTTGGGTGTCTGCAGCGGACGTGTTTAATGTCGTATCGCACTCATGATGTGTAGTTCTACATATATTGTCTACCCTTATCATGTTCATGTACAAATTTATAATATCATTTGTTAACCATCGTGTGTCGCTCATGAGCACACCGAAGTCCTTGAACGTGAACCTTAACTCCTCTTGCGTCCCTGGATTCTTCGTGCTTGGTAATATTTGGTAATTGTTGAACTTTGTTTCCAAGTGGCGCAAGGCATCTTCTTCGACCTCGGTCAAAGTATGCATCGCTAATTGAATAGTTCATCCGTGTATACAGTATCGAACGCCTTCGACATGTGATCTCTGTTCCACTGCACATGACAATGGAATTGTTTGTTATTAACATCTGATCGCATGAAATCACAAGGTGCACGTACGTAAGGTAAATTTTTATATTTCCTAGTATGTTCATGACGCATGAGATGATTACGGTAGAAGCGAGAGAGAGAGAGAGAGACAAAGACAGAGAGAGAGAGAGAGAGAGAGAGAAAGAGAGAGAGAGAGAGAGAGAGAGAGAGAGAGAGAGAGAGAGAGAGAAAACAGACATTTCGTTAAAACCGACAAATTTTTTA